GTGCCACCACACCCTTTCTAAAAAAACTGTAGTCTCATTTTCATACTTATCTCAACAGCATTTGGTAGGATTTTGAGAAATCGGAAATGGAGGAAAATATCCCATTATAATACACTAATTTTCTTTCTCAGATAGAATCGTGTAGGCGTAGACAAAAGAATTGCGCGCAAATCTCAAATGTATGTAATTCTTATGTTTTTACAAGCTTTTATTTAACTTGCTTCCGCTGTCTGTCTGTCGACAATCTGTCGTCAGTCTAGATCGAAATGCCCGAGCGAAATTACGGGCAATTTTTAACTATGGTTCGTAGTTGGTACGTGGGTCAAGACACGAAGACAATGCAACATCATATTAAATTCGACTTAATTGGTTGCCTAATTAATTTTTTATGAATTAATTAAAATTATGTCAAAATTAGTAGGCTTTCTCATCGAACTATTCCGCACTATTATACACGCGTCATCACGTTCATTAGGTGGGCAGTAGTTTTTAGTCATGCAAGTCTATTGTAAATTAAAAATAAACCAGGAGTGATTTCCCATAAAATTTCTCGAATATTCTTATATAACACTACGGGGGATGGCACCTCGGGATATAGACATGATATTTAATCAATTTTTAATTACTTAAACTTTTAAAAATAGAATAGAATACACTACTATTTAAATAACTATAAAGAAAAGCGAGAGTCTTTTCCAAAACATTAGTAAAGGTATCCAAGAGATACTAAAGTGACCCACGCTTTTCTTTATAGTTATTTAAATAGTAGTGTATAATTTATTTTCTACTTTTTAATGCAGTATTACATAAAAGTTGGTTATTAAAATGTTTTTTTAATGAATTCATTTCATTTTTTTAGAAATCAGAAATAGGCTAAAGTAGTGCTTCGGTCTGCAGATTTGAATTAAATAATAGACATAAACGTGAGAATAATGTCCAATACCTGTTCGATGCGACCAAAATACTTCCTAACGCCTTGAACTAACACCTTAAGTTACTGGTGACACCTTGAGGTACTGGTGTCACCTAACACACTGAGCTACTTGTGACACCTAACACCTTGAGGTACTGGTGTCATCTAACACTTCGAGCTACTGGTGACACATTGAACTACTGGTGACACCTTAAGTTACTGGTGTCACCTTGAGCTACTAGTGACACCTAACACACTGAGCTACTTGTGACACCTAACACCTTGAGGTACTGGTGTCACCTAACACCTTGAGGTACTGGTGTCATCCAACACTTCGAGCTACTGGTGTCAACTTGAGCTACTGGTGACACCTTGAGCTACTGGTGACACCTTGAGCTACTGGTGACACCTTGAGCTACTGGTGACACCTTGAGCTACTGGTGTCACCTAACACACTGAGCTACTTGTGACACCTTGAGCAACTGGTGACACCTTGAGCTACTGGTGACACCTTGAGGTACTGGTGACACCTTGAGCTACTGGTGTCACCTAACACACTGAGCTACTTGTGACACCTTGAGCAACTGGTGACACCTTGAGCAACTGGTGACACCTTGAGCTACTGGTGACACCTTGAGCTACTGGTGACACCTTGAGGTACTGGTGTCACCTTGAGCTACTGGTGACACCTTGAGCTACTGGTGACACCTTGAACTACTGGTGACACCTAACACATAGAGCAACTGGTGACACATTGAACTACTGGTGTCACCTAACACATAGAGCAACTGGTGACACATTGAGCTACTGGTGACACCCAAGACCTTGATCAACTGGTGTCACCTAACACACTGAGCTACTGGTGACACCTAACACATAGAGCAACTGGTGACACATTGAGCTACTGGTGACACCTAGGGTTAGGGTTAGGGTTAGGTAACCCTAACCCTAAGACCTTGAGCAACTGGTGACACCTAACACACTGAGCTACTGGTGAGACCTAACACATTGAGTTACCACACAGGTTGTCATGTGACTGGGTGTGTATCATGGCGAGGTGGGGTCTGTATGTCCAGCAGTAGACATACTGCCCTCCCCCCACCCCCTCGCATATCTTAATACACGACATTTGTTTGCATTTTTTTAGCTCCTTAAATATTTTTTTTTAGCTCCTCAAATATGTTTTTGAGCTGGGCTAGGGCAGAACTAAAGTACATAGGCTGCGTCACGGTCTGGTGACTTTGGTCGTCTAAAATACTGGTATCGATACATGAAATATGCTCAACGTGTCCACGATATCTGCGAGGTCAAGGTAACTGTTCACAAAGACAGTTGGTATCGATACTCATCACGGTATGACGATTACGGCAGGTAAATTGTCAACAGGCAAGCCTCGCGATTCAGCAGCTGTGTAAAGCTGTGTAAAGCTCTGTAAAGCTAGGAAAGACAGACGGAATTTATAGCTGTCCCACATACTGTGTTGACCAGATTATACAGCGCTGAAATCTTTGACAGACAACTTGGGTTTCTATGAGTGGAAATCTTCGTTCAAGTGAGAAAAACTTTTTAAATCTTAACTTATTACATGTAGGTAGATGTTTGTGTTTTATTTATTTGTACTTAAAGACACACTCGCCTGAATATACACTCATACACTGCAAATATTTCATTAAATATTGGATTTATCAATATTTCATTAAATATTGGATTTATCAATATTTCATTAAATATTGGATTTATCAATATTTCATTAAATATTGGATTTATCAATATCTCAAAGATCCTTGTTTGTATGCTTGAGACATCAATAAATGTTTGTATGTTTGTGGCATCGATACATTTCTGTATGTTTGTGGTATCGATGTTTGTATGTTTGTGGTATCGATAAATTTCTGTATGTTTGTGGTATCGATAAATTTCTGTATGTTTGTGGTATCGATAAATGTTTGTATGTTTGTGGTATCGATGTTTGTATGTTTGTGGTATCGATGTTTGTATGTTTGTGGTATCGATGTTTGTATGTTTGAGGTATCGATAAATGTTTGAATGTTTGTGGTATCAATAATTGAAAATAGACCAAAACAAAATCATTTGCCAACAGGTTAGGGTTAGGTTAGCTACACAAATGTTTCCAATATTAGGGTTTCCAAAAACCCTAAACCTAACCCAATGTTTCAGGTAAGAAAGTTGGATGGTGAAGTCAAATGATGGCTTACTTCACACAAACACTAACACAATTTCTGTTTTAATGTGAAGTCAAATGATGGCTTACTTCACAAAAACACTATTTCTGTTTTAAGATTTAGAATATAGTCCTGCAAAACTTGGCCACTTTTAGCAGCGGCCATCTCTAACATACCTAACCTTTTAGCGGCCATCTCTACCACACCTTACCTTTTAGCGGCCATCTCTACCACACCTGACGTTGGCCAGTTTTAGCGGCCATCTCTAACATACCTTACCTTTTAGCGGCCATCTTTACCACACCTTACCTTTTAGCGGCCATCTCTACCACACCTAACCTTTTAGCGGCCATCTTTACCACACCTAACCTTTTAGCGGCCATCTCTACCACACCTTACCTTTTAGCGGCCATCTCTACCACACCTTACCTTTTAGCGGCCATCTCTACCACACCTGACGTTGGCCAGTTTTAGCGGCCATCTTTACCACACCTTACCTTTTAGCGGCCATCTCTACCACACCTAACCTTTTAGCGGCCATCTCTACCACACCTGACGTTGGCCAGTTTTAGCGGCCATCTCTAACACACCTTACCTTTTAGCGGCCATCTTTACCATACCTAACCTTTTAGCGGCCATCTTTACCACACCTTACGTTGGCCACTTTTAGCGGCCATCTCTACCACACCTAACCTTTTAGCGGCCATCTTTACCACACCTTACGTTGGCCACTTTTAGCGGCCATCTCCACCACACCTTACCTTTTAGCGGCCATCTCTACCACACCTAACCTTTTAGCGGCCATCTTTACCACACCTTACGTTGGCCACTTTTAGCGGCCATCTCCACCACACCTTACCTTTTAGCGGCCATCTTTACCACACCTTACGTTGGCCACTTTTAGCGGCCATCTCTACCATACCTAACCTTTTAGCGGCCATCTTTACCACACCTTACCTTTTAGCGGCCATCTCTACCACACCTAACCTTTTAGCGGCCATCTCTACCACACCTAACCTTTTAGCGGCCATCTCTACCACACCTAACCTTTTAGCGGCCATCTCTAACACACCTAACCTTTTAGCGGCCATCTCTACCACACCTTACCTTTTAGCGGCCATCTCTACCATACCTAACCTTTTAGCGGCCATCTCTACCACACCTAACATTTTAGCGGCCATCTTTACCACACCTTACCTTTTAGCGGCCATCTCTAACACACCTAACCTTTTAGCGGCCATCTCTACCACACCTAACATTTTAGCGGCCATCTCTACCACACCTAACCTTTTAGCGGCCATCTCTAACACACCTGACGTTGGCCACTTTTAGTGGCCATCTCTACCACACCTAACCTTTTAGCGGCCATCTCTAACACACCTAACCTTTTAGCGGCCATCTCTAACACACCTAACCTTTTAGCGGCCATCTCTACCACACCTAACCTTTTAGCGGCCATCTCTAACACACCTAACCTTTTAGCGGCCATCTCTACCACACCTAACCTTTTAGCGGCCATCTCTAACACACCTAACCTTTTAGCGGCCATCTCTACCACACCTTACCTTTTAGCGGCCATCTTTACCACACCTAACCTTTTAGCGGCCATCTCTACCACACCTTACCTTTTAGCGGCCATCTCTACCATACCTAACCTTTTAGCGGCCATCTTTACCACACCTTACGTTGGCCACTTTTAGCGGCCATCTCTACCACACCTTACCTTTTAGCGGCCATCTTTACCACACCTTACGTTGGCCACTTTTAGTGGCCATCTCTGTCCGTGCCGCCCGGTGTCCTCGGATCCCTGCAGCCAGGCTTTTGGGCTTTGGGAGTGTGTGGGTGAACAGGAACTGGGAACGAAAGGGGCCGACGTCCCCATGGCAGACATGTTGACCTAATGCTGCGGCCTCCTCGTGGCCACGGACGGGTGCCCTACCCGGGTAGCGAACGGCAGCTAGGGGTTTTAGTCTGTGCATCCGTGTCGGCCAGCGTCCCCTGGCTGATGCTTGGATGCCGGTCCGAAGAGCCTGGTATGTCGGACTCCCAAAACCCCCATATTGGGACCAGGAGATCTGCCCGCATTGGACAGGTGAATCTCCGTTATCGTCCCAAATAGCGAGGTGGTGGAGAGATGCATGACTGCTAGGAATTAAAAAGGGTCTGTTCGCGATCCTAACCAGACGGTTTAACTTAAAGCTGCGGCCCTCACACGGCTTCGGACGAACTCTGCCAGTCGGACCAAATCCTCGGGGGGTGGCTGGGGGGCCGTCCCACAGAGGAAGCGGGATGGCTGGTGGAGTGAACAGCAGCTAGAGGATTTTCGCTCTGGTCGGTGGAACTGTTGTGTGCGTCCAGGTTCCAGCTTTTTCCGAAGAGCCTGACACGTCGGTCTCCCAAGTCCCCCACAGAACAGCGTGGGGGAGGAGAGGTGCAAGACAGTCGGGAACAAAAAGAGTCAGATATCGCTTTTGACTTGAAGCGGCGGCCTGACGAGGTTTCGGAATAATGTCGCTGGTCCGACCAAACCCACGTTAAGTGGATGCGGGACGGCCGGGGGCAGATAACAGCCGCTAGAGGTTTTTCGATCTGATGAGATGCCCCCCACGATCAAGCCGGGTACCAGGCGGTGGGACGACGTCCTGCGTCTGGTGGGAGGGGAAGAAAAGCCTGGTGAGAAAACCGCGGTTTTAGCGACCAATGTGTGGGGAGCCCTGGCCCTTTATCGGGGGCCGGGGCTTACTACATTGAGGCCTGCCTGGCTAATGGAAGTCCCCCTTCTGAGCCGGTTTCCGCATAAGAAGAAGAAGAAGTGGCCATCTCTACCACACCTAACCTTTTAGCGGCCATCTTTACCACACCTTACGTTGGCCACTTTTAGCGGCCATCTCTACCACACCTAACCTTTTAGCGGCCATCTTTACCACACCTTACGTTGGCCACTTTTAGCGGCCATCGCTACCACACCTAACCTTTTAGCGGCCATCTCTACCACACCTAACCTTTTAGCGGCCATCTTTACCACACCTTACGTTGGCCACTTTTAGCGGCCATCTCTACCACACCTAACCTTTTAGCGACCATCTTTACCACACCTTACGTTGGCCACTTTTAGCGGCCATCGCTACCACACCTAACCTTTTAGCGGCCATCTTTACCACACCTTACGTTGGCCACTTTTAGCGGCCATCTCTACCACACCTAACCTTTTAGCGGCCATCTCTACCACACCTAACCTTTTAGCGGCCATCTCTACCACACCTAACCTTTTAGCGGCCATCTTTACCACACCTTACGTTGGCCACTTTTAGCGGCCATCTCTACCACACCTAACCTTTTAGCGGCCATCTTTACCACACCTTACGTTGGCCACTTTTAGCGGCCATCGCTACCACACCTAACCTTTTAGCGGCCATCTCTACCACACCTAACCTTTTAGCGGCCATCTCTACCACACCTAACCTTTTAGCGGCCATCTTTACCACACCTTACGTTGGCCACTTTTAGCGGCCATCGCTACCACACCTAACCTTTTAGCGGCCATCTCTACCACACCTAACCTTTTAGCGGCCATCTTTACCACACCTTACGTTGGCCACTTTTAGCGGCCATCTCTACCACACCTAACCTTTTAGCGGCCATCTTTACCACACCTTACGTTGGCCACTTTTAGCGGCCATCGCTACCACACCTAACCTTTTAGCGGCCATCTCTACCACACCTAACCTTTTAGCGGCCATCTTTACCACACCTTACGTTGGCCACTTTTAGCGGCCATCTCTACCACACCTTACCTTTTAGCGGCCATCTCTACCACACCTAACCTTTTAGCGGCCATCTCTACCACACCTAACCTTTTAGCGGCCATCTTTACCACACCTTACGTTGGCCACTTTTAGCGGCCATCTCTACCACACCTTACCTTTTAGCGGCCATCTCTACCACACCTAACCTTTTAGCGGCCATCTCTACCACACCTAACCTTTTAGCGGCCATCTCTACCACACTTTACCTTTTAGCGGCCATCTCTACCACACCTAACCTTTTAGCGGCCATCTGTAACATACCTAACCTTTTAGCGGCCATCTGTAACATACCTAACCTTTTAGCGGCCATCTCTACCACACCTAACATTTTAGCGGCCATCTTTACCACACCTTACGTTGGCCACTTTTAGTGGCCATCTCTAACACACCTTACCTTTTAGCGGCCATCTCTACCACACCTTACGTTGGCCACTTTTAGTGGCCATCTCTACCACACCTAACCTTTTAGCGGCCATCTCTACCACACCTAACCTTTTAGCGGCCATCTGTAACATACCTAACCTTTTAGCGGCCATCTTTACCACACCTTACCTTTTAGCGGCCATCTCTACCACACCTTACGTTGGCCACTTTTAGC